TCATGGGGGATAGTAGGCAACCTTGTTTCACTCCTGTCTTCACTTCAAAGGCATCACTGAGCTTCCCATTGTGGATTACTTGGCATGTGGCATCTTCATATAGTTGTTGAATGAGGCGGATAAAGGTTTGCGGCACTCCGTAGTATTGAAGCAGTTTCCAAATTACTTCTCGGTCGACGCTGTCAAAGGCCTTCTCAAAGTCGATGAAGTTGAGGTGGAGAGGTGATTGCCATTCTATGCTCTGTTCTATGATGATGCGAAGCGTTGCAATTTGGTCTGCACATGATTTGTACTTCCTGAAGCCTGCCTGTTCCGGTCGTAGTTTTGAATCCAGTGCATCCCTTAGCCTCTCCAGGATGATGCGGCTTAATATTTTACTTGGGGTGGACAGGAGAGTGATTCCGCGCCAGTTCTTGCAAGCACTGAGGTCTCCCTTCTTCGGCAGTTTGACAAGGTAACCCTTCTTCCAATCGTCAGGTACCTTCTCTTCCTTCCACACCTTCTGCAATAGTGGTGTGAGCATGGCCGCTGTTGTCTCTGCATCTGTTTTCAGTGCTTCTGGCGGTATTCCATCTGGTCCTGCTGCTTTCCCACATTTCAGTAGCTTTATGGCGTTCAGGACTTCCATTTTCGTTGGGGGATTAATGTTCACTTGTAATTCAGCGGCTGCAGGTGGTATTTCTGGACGAAGTGCAGGTGGTGGTCGATTCAAGAGCTTCTTGAAGTGGTCGGCCCATCGTTTCCTCTGTTTCTCTTCTTTTGTAATTAAATTTCCTTCTTCATCTTTTATTGGTTTCATCTGTGTTGGTCTCTTCCCTGACAGCAACCTGGTTATTTGATACAATGTCGTCAGGTCTCTCTTACCTGCAGCCTGTTCTGCTTCACTTGCCAGTGTTTCGTAGAAGTGTCTTTTGTCGTTGCGTGCACTCTTCTTCACTTCTTTGTCCAGTGTTTTATACATTGTGCTCAGTTCCTCTTGTCGTTGAGCATCCTTGCACTGGTTTATCTTCTGCTTCACCATCCTCCTCTCCTCTATCAGCTTCCAGGTATCCGTCGAGATCCATTCCTTGTCTTCCACCTTCTTCCTTCCTAATACTGTTGTGCAGGTTTCTTTCCACATAGCTTTCAAAGACTTCCAATGTTCTTCCACACAGGTTTCTTCAGGGATGTTGCTCGATGTCTCCCATTTTGTCTTGATGGCTGCCTTGAAGATCTCCTTTGTAGTTTCATCCTTCAGTTTCCGAGTGTTGTACTTGGGTTGAGGTCTATCACCAGCTTCCTTGAAGGCTTTTAACTTGATTTGGAAGGTTCCTTGCACTAGGTAGTGGTCTGAACCTACATCTGCTCCTCTTCTTGACCTTGTGTTAAGTAGACTGCGTCTCCATTTTCTTGAGATTGAGATAAAGTCGATTTGATTTTTAGTGTGTCCATCTGGTGAAATCCATGTCGCTTTGTGGATATCTTTGTGCCTGAACACACTGCCTCCAATCACCAAATCGTTGAATGCGCAGACGTTATCGGTATACTTACTAAAATTAGTTTCAACTGAATAAGGTAAATCATGCAAAGAGAAAGAGCATAGAGACGGAGAAAGTACAGTACCTTGAGGCATACTAACTTCCAGTCAAATCACCAAGGATCTCCAACCAATGCTTTCTATTACTTCAGGGACGCCAATCAAGCAGTCTACACTTCTCTCCCTATATAGCTCAAACCAATGACAACAGAGTCCGTGGACAGGTGCCACATCCTGGTCCAGCAGCTATCTAGAGCCTTCTACAAACCCACTTCTACTTCAGTTACTGGTTACACAACGCATCTCAAAGCCATCCAAGAGCGTATCTGCAGACTAGTCTCCTTTCTTTGGGGATACGAGGATAGAGTTAAATCACATTCCTAGTCCCTACGAAATAGTAACAGTCGAAAACTAACAAGTTGACAGAAAAGGCGAGGCAGCGAAGACAGGACTTCTTTCAGATAAACGAAGGGAAGATAGAGGTGATGTGATGAAGACACCCGACCAACAACAACAACAACCAGCACCAATCACTATCAACAAGAGAAATCTAAACCAAGTAGTCTCTTTCACCTACCCACCTACCTACCTACGCAGCATCGTTTCAACTACAGGTGGCGGCACAAGCACACACGAGGATGTCAAAGCCATGATCAGAAACACAGCAAGACAGACCTTCTTGCATTAATCTCAAATAATTAGTGTGGAGATCTACTGCACTCCACTACACTCCACTCCACTCCACTCAGCATAAAGCGTGAACAACATTCCCATTTTCAACAATTATCTCAGTCACGTCAATGCTTCTATGTGATGGTTGAGAGACTTGGCGCATCACAAAAACATTTCCAACAAACTGTACACATACACCAAGAACCGCCTACACTCGATACTGAATATGAGATCAGATGGCCAGAATAATAAGAATAAACAACAAGGAATTCTCACCTCGCAACCAACCAACTAACCAACCTACTACGCATCGTCCAACAAATATACAGTGGAAGAAAGTGGAGATGGATGGGATTGGACACACACTGAGAAGACCATTCGGTGACACCACGAGCCACATCACACCACGCCAGCCATCGAATGGAACCTAAGTGGGAAACGACGAGTTGGGAGTCCAAGGCGAGGGTGACATGGACAGGATATCGTATGAAGAAGAAATGAGAGCTTATGTGCAGTCGTTGAGTCAGGTTGAAAAGACTGCAGAGAAGAGAGTGAAATGGCAACGTGCTACTGAAGCCGTATTTCCCACTAGGAACCCAGGGGACAAATAAAAAGTTAAAAATAATGTTGTAAAATACGCTATTACCATATGTCACAAGAAATACAGGGAAGTATGGTCTCTGATTTATCAATACGCAACGAACAGAATATAATTATTGAAAGCCTGACAGCTTTAAAAATCACGTTCCGGGGTTTATAGCAAGAAAAAACTGATTAGAATGAGACCTAGGCATCATCATCATCATTATTATCAACATAGGACCAGATATAACTGCGTAACGGTCCAACTTCCCGCCACACCTCATATCAGCACATCAAGTAAAAAGGTAGTGAGGTGAAGGATGAAGATAAGTGAATGCAGTCAAAAGAAATATAAAGTATAAGATAAAAGAAAAGAGGTGTGGCAAAATGGTGAGATTCGGTATAGCGTTGTTAAGATGAGGATGTGTGTATACATCTGCGCCACTCACATCGGTTCTGAGCCATATCACCTAGAGTCTCCAACCACTAGTTCTTCTTGTCCCGCGAACAGACCCCAATCACCTAGTCTGCATCGTCCTACATGGCTTAAACCAACAGTCACACACTTCATACATTGGTGCCATGTTTTAGTCTGGCCACCTTAAGCCTTTTTCCAGCCTGGACCCACCTCAGCCAACATTGTGTGACAAGGCAATCGGTGACTAGGCATACGTAGTACTTGTCCCAACCATCTCAGTCAATGAAGGTTCACAACCTCGTCAACTGACTTACCTCTTCTCCCCAAAACTCTACACCTAACTTCTGCATTACTCACATGGTGACACCACGGAATACGTCCTATACTACGAAGGCAATGGTGGTCAAACACCTGAAGCCTTTTTGTATCCTCCACTTTCAATGGCCATGTTTCACAGCCATACAGTAGAACAGAGCGGACTGTTGTGCAGTACACGCGACCCTTCATAGACAAACGGATATCACAGCGGAGGCGTAACGTGGCAAAAGTCAATCAAGCCTTTTGTATCCGTGCAGAAATCTCATCGGCAACTAACCCACCAGGGTTGATTCTACTTCCCAGGTAAGTGAAGTGGTCAACACACTCAACCACTTCACTCTCTATTGTTAACCGCTGTACCGCTGAAGACCAGTCCTGGAGCAAAAATTTGCATTTTGGTGGTGAAAATCGCATCCCAAAAATTCTCAAATTCCCACTCAAAGTGTTCAGAAGACTCTACATCTTGCCAGCGTCTTCACTTAACAGGACTACGTCATCTGCATATTCTAGATCTAAAGAAAATTCACTGTGATTGGGTCAACGTCTGTGTAATTAGGTGACTAGAGGGAAACCTCCATAAGAATATCTATGATAAAATCAAATAATAATGGAGATAGTGGGCATCCTTGACGGACACCACTTGATGAGTATAGCTCCCTGGACAACTCGCCATAGGCTCTAACATGCCTACAAGTGTTCGAGTAGAGAGCTTTATGAGACCTAGGCACACACATATACACACCTAGCTGACATTTGGAATTTTTCTGCTGTTCACCAACTGACTTACTGACTGGCACATAGATGCATCGGTTCACGTTGTCATACTTCACAGAAGTACACAAAAAGCAAGTGTAAATAAAAAGACTTTCCAGTAGGAGTCTCCAATCGTCAGGAGTTCGACGACTGTCTTACTCGTCTTAGAACAACAATCAGAAACTTCATAGATAGGTACTACTTTTTGATATTTTCGCACCTTGAGCCTTCCCTCCAATCTAATTTTACTTCAGCTAACAGTAGTATATAAAGAACAGCTAATCAGAAAAGGAGTGATATCAGAGTAGATAAAATTGTATGCCATTGTCAACGATGTTCAAGCCATGTCACCAAAAGTCCTCAACCGTTGATCCCTTACGTTTTGGCTACCCCCCAACCAGGCAGTCTACATCTCTCTACACGGCTCAGACTAGCAATAATAGACACCATCGACTGGTACCATATCATTGATCTGTTCACTAACACCACTGGTTGTGTGTAACAAGGCCTTAAACAGATGTCTCATAGGTTCTGTTGTCAGGTACCTTAAGAAGAGAATAGCCTTCCATGGTATGAGCAACTGAGAAGTATCAACCACCCACAAGCCTTCCAGTAGTACACAACACCTATCCAATCAAACTAATCACCTTAACCAATTATATCGAGGATTAAACTTCGAATATGTAATGAAACAGTAATATAAATAACAAAGGATAAAAAAAAGGGAATGATCCAACTCACTTGAGTAATTGCGAAACCAATATGCTCATAGAAGGCATCAATTGTATAAACAGCATAAACACCAGTTGCTGGAGGATAGTCTAATGTCTCATATTGAGAATCCCATTTATGTAGATATAGATGACAGAATGCTTTATGAGATAAATCACCGAAAGAAACATGAGCTGCACGATTAAATCCAAATTGAATTAACTTTTCAAAGGATATTTTTGTGTCATATGGAGGAAGAAGAAAAGAATCATATGAAAACGATGCAATGACAATAAAGGATAGAAATTCACCGGAATAGAATCAATTAGACATTACAAGCTAATATGAAGTTATGCTTCACTTCACTTATTTGAATAATTGATTAAAAATGAGCTGGTTATAAGTTCGTTGGCTGAAGGTAATCGGTAAGAAGCTCTGATCCACCTAATTTTCATGCTATCTGATACATGTCACCAATGGGAATGATTTCCCCTCCAAGGTTCGAACCCAAGTCATCCAGTGTGGCAATCAGCAACGTTACTACTAAGCTATTCATGACGCGATTGACCTCCTGAAAGACTGTATTAGATACATTACGTCTCCAACTGATTAACATCTAACCAAGTGGACCATGATGCTGAGCCGCCTCACCTGGTGACAACGTTGCAAAATGGTCGATAGAATTTGCTCAGAACTCAGAGCTAGACAACATGAAATTGTTTATCATTCAATGACCAGTCAATGGTTGAGTTCGAATGCTGTTCAGTCTAGCAGAGATTATAAAGTCAGACAGTATGGCTAATTAATGCGTAGTACAGTTAACTTATTGCCTATCTATAACATGAAACCTGTACATATTCCATGTCATCATCACCATCAAGATCAACATGGGACCTGGTATTAGTGAGTAACGGCCCAAATTCTCACACTTCATTTCACTACAGCAGATAACAAGGCAGTAAAAGGGAAGATAAAGAAGGGGAGAGAAATCGGTTCAAAGAAGTGAAAAGTAGTAAACGAGAGGAAGGAGAAAGGAGCAAATGATAAGATTAAGCATAGCGTTTAAGATGAGGATACTGTATGTATGCATCTGGGCCACTGATATAGGTACTCAGCCATATCACCTAGAGTTTCGCCCTACATAGCTCAAACCAATAATCAAGAACTTCATGCATTGATGCCATGTTTTAGTCTGGCCACCTCGAGCCTTTTTCCAACCTGAACCTACTTCGGACAACATTGTGCAACAAGAAAAATGGTGGTTATAGATACACAGCACATGTCGGAACCAGCCATCTCAGTCGATGTAGGTTCACAACTGTATCAACTGACTTACCTCTTCCGCCTAAGACTCTACACCTGACTTCTGAGTTACTCATATGGTGACACAACGAAACACAGGCTCTATTACGAAGGCAACGATCATCAAACACCTCAAGTCTTCTCATGCCTTCTGGCTTTAATGCCCATGTTTCACAGTCATACAGTAGAACACAGCAGACTGCAGCACAGTACACTAAACCCTTAATAAATGCTCGGATATTGCGGAAGCGCTGCAGATAGGTTAAGTTGGCAAAAGCTAACCAAGCCGTGTATAACCCTGCAAAGATTTTGTCGGGCACCAACCAATGCACCTCGGGTGATCCGACTTCCCAGGTAAGTGAAGTCTCCAACATACTCAAACACTATACTCACTCTCTATTGTTGGCCGAGGCACCGTTGAAGACTAGTCATGGAGCAACAATTTGTATTTGGTTGGCGAGAAACACATCCCAAACATTCTCAAATTGTAAGTCAAGATGTCCGGAAGACTCTGCATCTTGTCAACGTCTTCCCCTAACAGGACTATGTCATCTGGATACTCAACGTTTAGCAAAAATTGTCCTGTGTAGTTGGATGTCGAAAAAGAGACATCCACATATGCTACGTAAAGTTGTTCACTTACTGTACAGCATAGAGTGGCACAGAAATAGTTACTGGATAATTTATTCAGTAAAAATTATTATCGAAAATCATATCACGGTAACGAAACAAACTACTCATAACCGTGTTGTAGACTAACAGTGCTTTATTCTTTGAAGTTGATAGTAATAAAATTAGCATAAGTTATTCCTGTTGAGTATACCAAATACTGATTCAGTGAACAAAGATTCCGTAATCAATCTATCCCTCCAACTAGATATATTGGACTTAAGAAATGTCACCATATCCAACTGCACAATGTGGTAATGAGTCGGTGCATGGGAGGCAATAATCTAACTCGCTTCAAGACTACTTACTTTAATAACGTCTATCGCATTATATTTCGTTAAATGTGTACGTTCTAATATCCTGATCCACCTTGATCTATGTACTTGACATCACAACCACTACATAGTATTTGATAGATTATGTTATTTAGCTTAACTGCATTTACACGATCCACTGCGCCTCATGGTCTACACAACTAACTTTCAGTAACACTATCGATTCAAATGTCGCCCTAACCCAACATAAAATAATTTATTTCTCGTCTTCATATACACCAACACTATAGAAGATTTGAATTCGCCCTAGGCTATTTCACAGTTATTAGTAATATTGTTTCTCTACATCTTTTAAAGGTATTAAATAACTTTCCACTAAACTCTAAACAGCAGTTTATATTATATTATTATTTGTCTCTTGGGTTCCTAGTGGAACATAGGGCTTCATTAGCACATCTCCATTCCACTCTTTTCTCTGCAATCTTTTGAACCTCCCTCCACAACAGCCTAGAAGCTCTCATTTCTTCCTCACACGATCTCATCCATGTCACCCTCGCCTCGGACGCCCAACTCGCCGTTTCCCATGCCGGTTCCACTAGGGGGCTAGTGAGTGATATCCCCGAATGGTCTTCTCAGTGCGTGCCCAATCCATCTCCACTTCCTTCTGCATATTTGTTGAGCGATAGCTTCTTGGTTGGTTTGTTGCCTGGCCAGAGTTCCTTCTTGCTTATTCTTTCTAGCCATCTGAGCTTCAGTAACCAGCGTAGGCAGTTGTTGATGAATGTCCGCAGTTTGTTGGAAGTGCTTTCGTGACGCGCCAAGTCTCTGAATCACGTAGAAGCACTGACTTGACTGGCACTGATGTTGAAAATCCGGATCTTGTCCTTTATGCTGAATGCAGATCTTCACACAGGTTAATGGAAGCCTATCTTGCTTTTCCGATCCTGGTTTTGACATCCTCAACTGTGCCACCTGTAGTTGAAACGATGCTGCCCAACCTGGGTAGGTGAAAGAGACTACTTCCTTTAAGTTTCTCCCGCTGATGGTGATTGGAGCTTGTTGTTGTGGTTGGTGGGGGCGTTAGTTGGGTATCTTCATCAACTCTGTCTTCTCTACGTTCACTTGAAGTCCCGTCTTCGCTGCCTCGCCTCTTCTGTCAACTTGTTAGTTTTTGCCTGTAGATCTTCGGGTTGGCGTGACAAGACACTAGACACAAGTCATCAGCGAAATCCAAATCTTCTAGGATCTTTCCCCCGGTTCAGCCTTGTCTTACTCCTGTCTTCACTTCACTTCAAAGGCATCACTGAGCTTCCCATTGTGAATTACTTGGCATGTGGCGTCGTCATATAGTTGTTGAATAAGGTTGATGAAGATTTGTGGCACTCCGTAGTGTTGAAGCCACTACCAAATTACTTCTCGGTCGACGCTGTCGAAGGCCTTTTCAAAGTCGATGAAGTTGAGGTAGAGAGTTGACTTCCATTCTATGCTCTCTTCTATAAGGCTAACGTTACGATGACCCAAATCGACGTACACTGCTCCAGCTCTCAATATGCACTTTATTAAGTTTATGTTAATGTTTTTAAAAAAAGTCAATGTCACCTAAATTCAACATAGTAAATATATTATCTACATGTATCCACCGTACCACCGGGTGGGTTGGGATAATCCTGATGCCACTGGTTCCCAACTGTCGATAATTTGCCACGAATGGAGACATAACTGCACTCCTGACTACCTTAAGCTTCATATTGTTTAGTCGCATCAAAGGTGACTATGTGTTTCATCCTTCCCTGCAGAAATTCAAATCCGTTGTAACAGCTGTGATTACAGTGCTGTATGACATATGTTCGAACCTATAAGGGGAAATAAGTTTCCTTGAGGATACAGATACGCTTTGCTGGCAAGCGCCAATAAGTACAACATTTGGGTACAAGGCATCCTGGCGATAATCATGAGTTATACATAATGCAACTTCCCTTACTTGGGAAGTTGCATCAGCCCAAACGGGCTGCTTGCTGACAGAATCTCACCACAGAAGGCTTTTTGGCATCTGCCAATTTCCACCCATTCTGGGGTCGACTTGCAATACACCCCACTATCTATCAAAGGATGAGTATAGTGCACTGCAGTCCATTCTGTCCTGTTTAAAGCTGTGAGACATAGCCATCAGAAGTAAAAGACATGAAGTGGTTACACGTTTCCGACCATAGATGTCTTCATGCTGATGCTCACGTTTCGTGGAATCATCATGTGAGCAATGTTGAGGTTAGGCGAAACGTACTAGGCAAGACAGACAAGTCGATTGATGAGGTTGTGAACCTTAGTCGATAGTATATGCTAAGCCACTGCCTAAATTGACGTGCCATGCTAGGGTAAGTTGGATTAATTTGGCAGAAGGCTCAGGGTGGCTAGATTAATTCATGGCGCCAGTTCATGAGATCTCTAACTGTTAGTCTGAGCCTTATGGGCAGGTTTAGACTACGTGGCTGGGTTCCCCAAACGATGGGAATCAATAATTGTAGACTTTTGGTGATATTGCTGAAAATCGGTCAGAATGGCCTAGATATATTCACTCTTTGATGTCTTTCAAAGCTTAAATGTCTTGAATAACCTTAATTTTTAAATTCCTTCTCCTCCTATACAACACTATCTACTTTGACTTCAGTCTTTCTCATTCTACTTGTTCTTTGCATACTATTATGAAGTGTAGTAACTTGAACCGATTCAATTGTGTACAAGATTCTACGTTGATTTCGTCTATTCATCAATCTAACTACGGTGGTATCAGAAAGTATACTGTTGGACAACAGCATTTCTTGTAAAGTAGAGTCTAAAACACTATCAAAGATTACTGATCAGAAGATCCGAATTCCATATTAAATTGGTTATTTGATAAACCAGACAGTGACATAGTATAATTTACTAGATGACGTTTCAAGTAGAACTTATTGCTCATATTTATATCTCACGGTAATCATAAGACTTTCACACTTTCAACAGTTTATTTACTGGTGGTAAAATTTCCCAGATATTTGGTAAACATCCATCACAGAGATCAAACCTGCCCATCACAACAGTACGAAATGTATTACGCATCTTTGGTCATAAATACTAATAAAATTTTAAAACTTCGTAATCTAAAAAAAAAACAGACAGAAATACCACGGACATAAACCCTATCATTTTTGATAACTCATCATCACTAATCCATTAGTTGAATGAAACGAAAAAATATGCAGAATAGTAGTTATTACTCAGGGAATGGTCTTCGGTGATACTCTGCTTAATAATAGAGAGTGAAATGGTTGACTGTACTGATCAATTCACTTACTTGGGAGATCACATCAGCCTTGCTGAGTTTTTTGTGCTGCCGATTGCTAATTAAACGTTGACTACACTGTGCTGTAGTTGGCTCCATTGCTGTGAAACATCCTTACTAAAGGTAGAGGCCTTCATAACATACGCCGTGCCGTGGTATCAATACATGAGTAACGCAGAAATTACGTGTAGTTTTAACATCACCGCATGCAGCCTTTAACTGCTGGTTCCATCCATGATAAGAGATACAGACTACCCGATTGTGGTTTATATGGTAATAGAAACTCGTGGTTGGAGACCCTAGGTGATACGGTTCAGAATCGATGACAACAGTAAACATGTATTCACACTATGTCTTCATCTTTCACCTAACTGCTTCATTACTTGTTGTGCTGATATAAGGTGTAGGAGTAATGCCTTGTCCTATGTTGATATTGATTGACAGAATATCATAGAAGCCAATAAAACACGAAATGATGAAGTAAACTATTATATCAATAATAAACAAACATCTAATTACTTACCTGAATAGTAACTAACAATACCTTGAATATTTGAATAAACAATTTGAATGGAATACGTCTTTTCGCCTGAAATTTTCCAATCGGTGTCATAAAATGATAGTATAATCGACGACGCATCCAATCTTCAACTTCATTTGGATTAATAGACGCAGAAGTTGTAGACGTTGCGATATCTTGTCCTGTAGAAGTTAGTACATTAGCACACGGAAAAATATGACTACTGTTGTAGTCATCTCTATTGGAAAGAAGAGGATGTTCTTCAAGCAAAGCATCACTATGAACATAATCTTCATTAGTGCATTCATTTGTTGTATTATCGGATTTCTTTTCAAAACACTTAATAATACGGAAAATTAACTTTTCTACAAAACTTTGTGATCCATGCTTTTCACTATTAGCACTATTATTATTATTATTGTTATTATTATTATTACTATCACTATTGCTGTTTACATTAGATGAACAATTCATATGAGAGATATAAGAAGGAGGTAAATGTAAACAGGTGGGTGGTGCATACGGATGCTGTTCTCTGATATTAACATCATTTCGTTGCATATTCAATTGGGTTGTTGAATCCCAATGTTGATCAGAATGAAGAAAATTTGAATGATTTATACTTGATCCACTTTGATTACAAAATTCTCCAGTTTTCTCCTTTTTAAAACGTCTAGACATCACTAATGAGAATTATATACGTTAGGAAAGTTTTAAACTATACACACAACACCATCTAATAAGAGAAAAAAAGAAACATCAAGAAAGAAGCGCAAGTAAATATTAGGAAAGAGACTATTTTTAGCGATATTTTATTCATAACAGTGTACAACATATACATATATATGCTTTTATAAGATGTCAGGGTCTCTATACTAAGGCGTAGCACTAATCCATGAAGTCTTTGACTATTAATTTGATCTATGTAAAGAGGTGTAGATTGACTGGTTGGGTTCCTCAAGACGATAGGGATCAATGGTTAAGAACTCTTGGTGAAATGACTGATAATAAGCCAAAAATGGCGCAGATTTATTCACTCTTCGATGTCTTCTAAAGCTTGAACGTCTTCACTAACCCTTATTATTAAATTTTCTTTCCTCTTATACACCTTTGTCTACTTTTATATCAATCTTTCATATCCACTTGTTCTTTGTATGCTGCTGTGAGGTGTGAGGTTGTGGGTGAGTGGTTTAGGGAGATGGCTACCAACCAGTGGGTCACGGGCTCAAGCTCCGCTCCACCTATCAAGGTTAGGGAACCCAGGTAGTATCATTAGCCCCTACACCATATGTGTGGCTAATTGCCTGCTGCACGAATGTGCACAAGATAGCTGGATGTGTCGTCATCGTGGCAACGTGAATCAGTGCATTTGTATACGAGGTTCTACGTTGATCTTGTTTGCCTGTCTTGCTGACTACCAAAACGACAGAGAATTAAGTATATATCAGTAAACGATGAGCGACAATGTTGAATGTTTTGACGTACTACTAAATACCAAAAACAATTTAGTTCATATATACTAACTTTGGAGACCTTCTGCTAAGACAGGGAGAAATTATTGTTTGTTAGCTAACCGACCCAAACAATAAGTCACTAGAAGTGAATTCATTCTGTGTAACTTTATGTCGATAGCAAAAACGCATGGCTTTCACTTAAGCCTATGAATTTATACGCTGTTTATGAGTTAGTTAGTTACACTGGAGAGAAATAAATCAAAGTTAGATTATCTTAATATGGATTATGTAAACACCTAAACTTCCAAATGAGTTATATCAACCGGACACGAAACTTGGATCAACACCGTATCTGTAATAGTCGCTACACTTTACCAAGAGATAGCAACATCAGTAAAGTCAACTCTGCGCATTACAGTGAATTGTGAAAACAAGGAGGAAACAATAAAAATATAATATTTGAAGAACAATAAGTAACAAATAAATGGTTAGAAATAATCATCTAAGCAGAGATGATGAGCAAATTCTCAACAGTCATCAATGTTAAAACAACTAAGACGAAATGAGAAAAAAAGGGGGTGGTGTGAAACAATCAACTACTGGAACAAGGAACTAAGTGGTGATCTTAACATGATTATGGACAATAAATTGTGTCCGAAATGTAATCCAGTAATTAATACTCTTTTGTTACTGTCTAATCCATTCATCCATCTAAATCAACATAGGACTAGGCATTACTGAATAACGGTCCAACTTCCCGCCACACCTCATAGCAGTACATTAAGTAAAAAGGCAGTGAGGCGCAAGATGAAGATAAGAAAATTCACTCAAAAGGAATATAAAGTACTCTAAGAGTGAAAGGAAGAATGAGGAAATGGTGAGATTGGATACAGCGTAGTTAAGATGAGGGTAATGCGTGTATACATCTGCGCCACTGACATCGGTTCTCAGTCATGCCGTCACCTACAGTCGCTTTTCCTGAGGACTCCTACCAGCTAGTCAGCATCGCCCGACGTGGCTCAAAGCAACAGTCAAAGACTTCATACATTCATGCTATATTTTAGTCTGGCCGAGAGCCTCAAGCCTTTTTCCAGCCGGAACCTACTTCGGGCAGCATTTTTTGACGAGGTAATCTGCGACTAGGCATATGTAACATATATTGGAGCTAATCATCTCAGTCGATGAAGGTTCACAACCATGTCAACTGACTTACCTCTTCTCCCTAAAACTCTACGCCTGGCTTCTGCGTTACTCACGCGGTGACACCACAGAATACGGCCTATACTACAAATGTAACGGTGGTCAAACACCTCAAGCCTTCTCATGTCTTCCACCTTCAATGGTCATGTTTCCCAACCATACACTGTGTAGTATATCCAAGATATCAACTAAAATATAACTAAATTCAACCAGTGTCCAAGATTTGGTCTTATATTAAACGATGAATAGATGGTGAATATTTCAGAAAGATCACTATCTACAACATAATACAATCAACTCTAGAGAGGACTGAACTACAACACTGGAAATGCGGACAAAATATGTTTTTCTTGCATTTTTGAAGCTTTCGCTTAAAACCTTGAGATGAACTATTGAACAACAATAGGAACAACGTCAATCAATTACAACTTTTTATATATCTGGTTTTCTTAATGAGAAGTTATAAAATAGAATGTTTACGTTTGTTCGGCAAAAGTTAACATTCTTGGTTTGTTTCAACTGAAATTCTGATGGAAATCAAACGAAATTAACACCTACTTTAATACAAAACAAGGAATTGAACTAAAGTCACTAATGACCAACAAGATAATTGTAATCATCGCTATCACGTATGTGAAAAGGAAATAAGAATTATCTACTGAGAAAAGCGTTTCTTAACAACTGGATGAAAATCTAATTAAACAGTACGACCATCAGGTTGGGACTCATCATAAACTAGCATTAGTTGGAGGAACATTGGAAACCTGGGAGCACTAGACAGCTGTTTCGTTCTAGTATAGGACCCCTCTTCAGTGTCCACATATGGCCCCACCCCATCAGCAGTCGAACCCAGGACCCTAAGATCCTGTGACCAGCATGTTACCACGGAGCCACTGGGCCGGAATCCAGTCGTCCACATTTCCTACTTCTGTCAGCTCCCATATAGAGCGACCTACATCCAATGTTGTCGTTGAGTAACAGTCCTCATGTTCGACACAAGAAGAAATTTGGACGATTGGATTCCAACCCAGTGGTTCAATGGTAACGTGCTGGTCACGGAACCTGAAGGCGCTGGCTTCAACTCCTGATGGGGCGGGGTCAAGGGTGCTCACTGCTGAGCTCGATACTAGGACGAAACAGCTATTCAGTCCTCCCAGGTTTGCATTATTCCTCCAACTGATATAAGTCCATGATGAATTCCAACTTAAAGTCAATTAATAAACCTCCACAAACTTCCAGATAGAATTAGACAATCAGACCCAAGCAAAAATGGTCAATTTAATAAAACTTGGCCAAACCAAAGAAGCACAACAATGGTGGATGAAGACAAATGCACCAGAATTACCAAAGTTCTACGGTCGCTCAGAAATACATGAAATAGATATTCCACTACGCTGCAGTTTTTCACGTTCTACCAGATTGTTGTGAAATATGACTTTTTGAATGCAAAGAATATAAGAAGGCGCCGTTGCCTTTGTAACATAGGCCATGTGTCGTGGCGTTATTACGTAACACAAAAGTCAGGCGTAGTTTTAAGGAGGGGAAACTCACTTCATGAGGTTGTGAACCTTCAGCTCAGGTGTCTGGGACATGTGTTACGCACACCTAGTCACCGTCTGCCTAGTTGTACAGTGTTGGCTGAAATAGTTTCAGGCCGGGTAAAGGTTATGAATGGCCAGATCATAACATGGCATTACTGAGCGAAGTCTTTGATTGTCTATCCGAGTCGTGTAGCGAAATGAAAAGTTCGCGGTAGGGGTCCGCGTGACAAGAGCCTAGTTGACATGAATAGCAAAGCGATCTCAGTAGCACATTATCTTCATTCTTGTCGTTCTACAGAATTTCATTACTCTCTCATCCTTTCTTGCCTTGTTTTTGTGACTTCCTGCCAATTTCGTTTTTTGTATATTTCTTTATCTTTCATCTTATTATATTTCGGTTTGATGTACTGATATGACGTACGGTAACCAAAACCATAACGCAGTAACGCCAGGTTTTATGTTGATTTTGTCTGTTTGACGACTAGTAGTTTCAATCCTTGGAAGGCCTTTCAATCTGTCAAAAGAATCCTACAAACAACCCTAACATCTCATCCACGGAAGTGAACACTCAGACAGCTCAACAACTGGATTTCAAGACGAAACTAGGGATTTGAAAATAGACTGTAACGAAAACATTATATCCATCAATTCGACTTCTCTTTTCACTTCAAAAGACCCAAATTTAGTCTAAAAGACAATGAATATTCTTTTGAGAGGCAGCCAAAGTTGTTCAGACTATAAGGAATTGTAGTGCGTTTAACCTCAGGATATAATGATCTATGCTTAACGATCTACCTACATTTCAATGGCAAAATATGCGAACGAACAAAACAAACACCAATGAGATGACCGATATCAAGGTGAAAAATGAAGACATCAACGAGATACTGTTCTTAGATGTTCTCATCGGTAGAACACTCCATGCCATTCTGCAAACTCAGATGTATAGGATAACCATACGCCTATAAAATATTGAACTACAACAGCAACTTTCCTACAGTTCAGATAAAATGCTATGTGTAAACACTTTTCAAAAACTAAAACTCATCGTAACACTAAAGAAGGTGGAAGAAAAGTACGTACACAAAATATCGAAAGTCGGTGATTATCCACTTAACCTCACTAAAAAAAAGATGATTTTCTGCAGGAGACAAAACATAACTATTACTTGAAATCAGCAGGCGTATTAGGCTACCCTACATGAAGAATACCTCAGATACTGTCAACTGATGGTTTTATCCGTTTGGAATTGCAGTGACACAAACTAAATCCAGAATATTATGTGCAAGCCAAAAAATGAAAGGACAAAAACTGTGTTGAGTCGCTGTTAGTAAGACATTATTTTTGTGAGGACCAGTAGAAAGTGATGAACTCGAAGGGGTACTCTCAAACCCTCTTTTCTTACCGCCGTGTTAACGAGGTTCTCATAATAATCAAGTCACCTAGTCTAGCTGGTATATATGTGAAAATTTGGAAAGCTACGTAAAGTGGTGAAGACACCCCAGTCAAACTGAACAACCTGAAATGTTCATGGGATGGTCCAACGGATGGCCATTGAAGACTTACGGTGGGTCATGTGTATCAGTTATGATGATTCACATAACTACACCATCAATGACGAGTAGTCGTAGATGGCTTTCATGCATAAGGATTCAGGTGCAATTGTTAGCCAAGGTCTATAAACTTCGAGGAGGAACTATACTGCATCAACTGCTTAAGTTTCCCCATTCTTGTGATGTTTTCATACGGCTTCCCAGAGCTTCAAGGAAGATATAACTCAGATATTATACCCATGTTTCTAATGAAGAGGATATGCTAAAAATTGTTCAGGAGGTAGGAGGCAAAAAATTCTCTTTTCTTTCCTTCCGTCATGAACAGTGACTTATTCACCATAAACCTTAGGAATGAACTAAACAGTGAACTAAGACAGTAAGCTTACTGCCAAACCAAAGTTCAAGAAAAACCCGATAAACACGCGTCACCTTTCAATCAGCTTATCCGGAACTGGTTTAACCTACATATTTCTCACCTCCAGGACTAACCATCTGAAAGGATACTAGCATATTGAATCATCGGTCAATTCAATTGATTTAGACTCGAAACATATGCACAATATATCAAGCATAAAGGAATCCATTTCCCATTTTGATGCATCTATGATCATAATACAGGCAGTAATTTATAACAATATGCACAGAAACAAGACGAGACAGACATATCAGTAATACAATATAAGTAATGACAATGACAGCAGTTTTTGCTACAAACCAGTAGCAAAAATCCGGCCAAAAACATCGACACAAAGTAAAATTTGTATACACAACTAATGTAAGAGTGGGAGAAAGTAGCTAAAGGCAAACATTTACGCGTACAAGCCAAAATAAACTCACCTTAAAGACTCCTTAAAATGTCGCGCATATTACACCTTGAATGTGGATAAAGTTAAACAACTCCTAGGAAATGTAATATAAGTAGCTGTATAACGAAGGAATCTGACTACAGCTGCAAATTCAAGGCTCGCATAGAAAAAGGACCACATGAAGATACTTGAAAAAGGCTAGTAAATCCACAGGGGATCTGAAATACTGAATGCAGCCCTTTCAAGGTGAGTAAAAATGGTATAATGTAATGCCGAAGACAAATCATAAGTCCAGTGAACTGTATTGTACCAATAAGATTCATAAGCCAGGTCATCCCAAAAGGTCTACTGCAGATTTTAGAAACACTCCAAATTATGATTTACCTAAATATTTTGGTATGGCGCTAGGTCCAATAAGAAGTCACTCAGAATTCCAACTTACTGACTCTTATGACTTAAAGCATAAATGGGATAATATATATTCAGATGACAAGGAAAAATTTTCAGTTTTGACACAGCTAACCTTAACACGAATATACTGATTCAAACGGTTCGAATGGCTGTTGACAGGATCGAAGAAGCCTTCGCTTAACTGGCTTCAGCGTCAACAGTCCGTGGATCACCAATCCTTGAGGTTGTTAACCTGTGTACAAGTAAAGAGAGAGGAAAAATTGACGATTAAAACGTGAAAGTCCACTTAGTTCTGGGCAGATCTTAGATATACATCAAGTGAGTATCCAGTCGGCGTTTAAAAGATTCAGACGGAGTAGCCTGGATCATACCTTCAGGAAGTGTTCCGCGGTTTAGCAACTTGTAGGGAATAGAAGTTGTGCCTGGCATCCAGCCTGCTATATTCCGGACTTGGTCTATGTGCATGCCCTTTAAGATTAGCGTTGCAGCTAGGATTTAATGAGTGACGGATTGGGTGGCCAGGCGTGCTCAGAATGTTGTAAGTCATTATCAAGCCTCCTCTTAGCCTTCTGTATTCCACAGGATACAGATCCAGCGCAACCAGTCGTTCTTCATGCGTTTTCGATCTAAGTCCTTGAACAGATTTTGTCGAACGCCTCTGGATGCCTTCTAAGCTTAGTTTGTCCTTCTGGAGATAAGGGGGGAAGGAGATGGTTCCAAACTCCAGGTGAGGCGTATTAAGCTGTTGAAAACTAGGTGGATCTACGATCGAATTGTCCGAAAATTCGTCTAGGAGTTACTGACACCACATTCCCATGAAGTGCATTTCTGTCACAGTCGGCGTAGGGTTTTAAGTCTTAGGGGACTAACACGCCCAAATCCTACTCCGTCAGTGACGCTTCAAGTCCCGTGCAGTTAAGGATATACACATGAAATGCATCCATGTCCGTCTCATGAATTTCAGCAAATTTTAATAAGATTATGCACACTAATGACTTGATATGTAAATTATTTGATACCAAACACCAATTCGTAAACTTTTAAAAATTTTGAATTTGACGGTGCATGTAAACTGGTATCCCTCATGTTTAACCCATTATATGAGGATAATATTTACTATCGTCTAAGTTTTAACACTCTATGTACGCTGTAAGGTAATATTTCCCTGTTCATTTCATAACTAGCGTGACATTCGGCAGTTTTTAATTTAGTTTAACGGCATTCCGTCAGTACCACTCGGGGCTCAAGTCTTGTAGATATTTTGAGATGTATCAACGTGATGAAGCCTGTAAACTGGCTTCCCTCAAGTTAAACTTTTTTTAAGCATGATAGTAAAACATTTATTTATATTTATTTATTTATCATGTTTTAAGTGTATCGCCGTGCATTTCTCAGGATTAAATGCAAACCCGTCGTTGGCCGCCCAGTTGTGAAGTCGAGTCAAGTCTTCCTGTAGAGAAACACTGTCTCTTTCACTTTTGATTTCTCTCCAGAGCTTCACGTTATCGGCAAAAAGAAGGATTTCGGAAGAGGCCTGTTGTGGCGAGTCGTTTGTGTAGATTAGAAAACGGGGAGACGCTGTTACTGAACCTTGTGGAACACCACTAGAACATTCTGTTTCTTCAGACACAGAGAAACTCACCCGAACTCTAAATGAAGGGCTCCGTAGATATGAAGATAATCGGTCAATGGGTGGAGGTCGAATCCCGATTGGTCTTAATTTATCGATAAGACAGTCAAGATAAAACACGATCAAACGCCTTAGCAAAGCCCAAGTAGACAACTTTAATTAGTCCTCGACGGTCAACAATGCTAGTCCACCTGTCTACTGCAGTAAGCAGACTGGTAATGCAGGAGTACCCCTTTCGAAGTCCATATTGTTGGAGCGCAAAGAAATTTATCTTTGTGAGTTAATCCCTCAAACCATTGTAAATCATCGATTCCATTACTTTGGAAGGAATAACCAAAAGTGTCGGCGGTCTGTATTTCTTTGGATTGCTTCGTTGACCCCCTTTGAAGATTGGCGTTATGTGGCCCAGCTTCCAAGAGTCGGGTGCCATCCCCTGACTCAGAGAACTCCTAAATAACTTACTTTAGGGTTCGGACAAGATTGAATCTCCCCCCCCGGCAGCACCACCGGATGGGTTTTATCTGGTCCCGGAGAGGTGTCTCTGGTTAGCAGTGGCAGTTTGCGCTGTAATGGCCCAACGTTCAGGTTGGCCACTGAAGGGTCTACTTCGTTAGTGGGATATTCGTAAGCTCCTGAGTAGGTGGACGATGACGAAAAGATTTGCAGATACTGGTCGGCCAAGGGCTCGGCTGCTTCATTGTCGCTATTAGTCAGTCCGTTCGCACCTAGTAGTTGAGTGACTCCCGCTTTAGCCTGCCGGAATGAGGCGGTGCAGTGGAAGAGACTTCTTGGGTTAGACACGAACATGTTTGTAAGCTTGACTTGATGCAGCTGCCGATCGGCTCTCAAAGCCTTCGTACACATGTTTCCTGCCTGTCTGAATTGTCTGTGAGTACACTCGGTGCCGATCCTTTTGTGTTCAGCCTAGTGATGTCCCTTTAACTTAAGTAGTTTGCGAGTGTAGTTCCTTATTACCTTAGGTGACTTGAAGCACTCCGGCCTCGAAAGTGGAACAGATTGATTGATCGCATGCATGATCTTGTCAAGTATGAATTTCCAATGGGTGTTTATACCCCGCCATGCATGGGTAACTTACCGATCTGTCTGTTCTAATGCGGTTAGCAGAGCCGGATTGCTAAGTCGCCTGAAGTTCCAACGATGTTCACTGAAAGGTCTGGTTAGATTGGTTTCGCAAACAAATTGGAAGCCGATGACAACGTGGTCACTATTGCCCAAAGGAGGTGGGATCGCTAAGTCGTCTAGCACGAATTCTTCATTTGTGAAGACGCAGTATAAGCGAGATGGGGCTTGCGTCTTCCTCACTCGCGTTACCGGTCTCACATTTTCCGTATGCCCCAGCCCCTCAATCAAGTGGAATAATCTAGCTTCAATGGAATCGTCACTCCCGCCAAACGTGTGGTCAGCAAAGTTGACCTTCGGTAGGTTAAAGTCTTTTAAAATTAGTATGTGTGTGCCTCAGTTTAAGACAGCAACTAATCGCCTCTAGCATCTGGTTGTCGTATTGTAAATCAGCAGGCGGCTTTCTGTAAACGACTGCCACCAAGCAGTTTGTGGTCTTAGATAGCGTTATGGTGCACCAAACGGACTCTTCAAGGCATTCCAGTCCTTGGATATGGATTTAGTGGGCTGAGAGGTAGAAAGCTGACGTAAAGCGGTGCCCCACTTTCCCCACCGGCCTTCCTGTCATTTGCAAAACAGCATGGCACTGGCAATTGCCAGCTCCTGGTTTCACATGTCAGGTGAAGCCCATGTCTCAGTAACACTGATAAAGCGAGTAAACGTGTCCCTTCTTAGTTCCCTCAGCCCGACCAGTTTGTTCAGTAAACTTTGTGCATTCGTATAGATGCAATTTACGCCCTGCACGTGGAATACCATACCTGCACCCTCTCTATTTTCCAGTTGGCTGGCTAGATCCTTGGGCGTGGGGGCTGGGAATGTGCCTAGTTGCTGACTACTAGTATAGTATTCCCCGCTCCTTGCCCGTTTTTCTCATCTAGGCAGTCTTTCAGAGATACGACCGGTTCCAGTTTCTTCTGTTTCCGATGCTGCGACCTATCGGGCTGCACACTGGCTCCAAATGGGAGGTGATTTCTGTTCGCTCAGAGGGCCTCTAGCGTAGATGCTGCCGTTTGAGTGGTCAGAAAGATCACTTTGATCAGCCTTGGTCCGGGGTCGTCATCTTTTTTGGGCATGCGTGAGACGCTTTGAGTGATCACTCCCTTGAGGTTCATAGTACTCTTGAGGAACTTTCACTCGCGAGAATCGTAGTGAATATCCCCGGTTCCTGGGTTCTCCGGCATGCCTTGCACTATTAGGTTCCTTCCTCCGAAGTAGGCGCCACAATTGCCGCCCGGCAGATTCTTTAGAGCTTTTCTCCGAGAGTGTAGGATGTCCAGCAGCATCTCAACTTCCCCCTCAGCTTTAGCGTGTGAGATGCCACGAGTTCATCCTCAGCATCGTCCGGGTTGGAGAATGTGAGCCTCAAAAGACTGGGTTTGCCCTTAGTTATTGGATCGGGATTGCGAGAGAGCCTAGTTGTGGCTACTGGTTTTATGTAATCTAGCTCTGGTTTTCTGCATACGTTCTCCCAAATAACCCTAACATTCTTGTCCCGAAGGCTATATGGGAGCTCACGGCTGTCTGTCAGGTTCATGGTGATCAAGGAATCATTTCAGGCAGTGGTATGCGTAACGGAAAATTGATCTGAAAATCCCTCCCGATCACCCTATTTGATTGCATTGACATTTATTTTATTATTTTTACCCTCGTTATGGACGGTGTACCTTTGACCCTAGCCGGTGTAATGTTATCTGGTCGTTTGACTGTCTTCTTTGACCTTTACTCAGTATCTACCTTTGTATGATTGGGACCTATCATGAATGTTTCACTTTCCTATTATGTGACGTTGGACTGTTGATAAGGCGATGTAGTTTTACTGTGCCTGACACTTCGTTTCGGTCCAACCTACGGTTGTGCTGTGATTTGACTGTTTGTCTTTTGGCTGTCTGCTGGA